GGAACGTAGAAATTTAAGATGTCAAAAATTGCATGAGTTGAGTTTTTTCCCCTCCTCTGTGATTATGTTACTCGTTTGAAATAACAATAAGGTTAATTTGCTTTTATTTGTATTCCTTTTTAGAATGTTTCCTCCATCCTTGTTGATACTGTTTTTTAATATGCAAAACATGAACATGGTTCCAAAAGTCACAATTGTACAAAAACATCCACACACTTATAAGTGCCCCGTCCCAGTTTTTTCTTTTTTTACTTCTTTCTTACCCATCCCCAGTAGATTAAGTAATTTCATGAAACTCTATCTGGTTTATCCTTTCTGAGTTTTTTCTAGAATAGCAGAACAAACATGTTACTTCACTTTCTTTCATATACAAAACGTATGTGCTTTACTCCTCACCTGGATGAGCTCTAGTTTATTCAGCCACTCTCCAACGTGTTGGCATATAGATAGTCTTCAGTATTTTGCAGTTACAAACAGCGCTACCATGAATAACCTTACGTGTATGTATTTTTGTACTGTAGGAAGTATATCTTAAGGGTAAGTTCCTACAAGTAAGATTGCTGTGTAAACATACTTTTGTTACATCATCACATTCATTCCATAAGGGTTGTACGCCAATTTTATACTCACACCAGTGAGAGTGTCTGTTTTCTCACAGGTTTTTTACTTTTTACCAATCTGAAAGTTGAGACATTTAAAGTCAGGTTTTTAATTCTTTTTTTTTTTTTTTTTTTTTGGCCTCAATTTTTTTAATGTTTATTTTTTTGAGAAGGAGAGCTTGAGTGAGGTGGGGCAGAGAGAGAGGGGAACAGAGGATCCAAAGCAGTCTCTACGCTGACAGCAGAGAGCCTGATGCAGGGCTCAAACTCATGAACCATGAGATCATGACCTGAGCCAAAGTCGGACGCTCAACCAACTGAGCCACCCAGGCACCCTGTCTAAATTTTTAAGAGTTCTTTATATATTGGGGCTATTGCTCCTTCATCTGTAATATATGTAAACATTTTTTTCTTAGTGTTGTTGATCATCTTTTGACTTTGGTTTTGGTGTTCTTTGCCCTACAAAAGGTTATTTTGTTTTGTTTTTTTGTGCGTTTTTTTTTCTGTAATCAAGTTTATTTATTT